CGCAGTAGTTAAGTAAGTATAATTATTTTTTACTGGGTTTTAGTACGTAAGTATTCTAAAAACATCAACAAATATGAGGATGATCGCAAAATTATTAGACTGAAGTATTTCGAATGTCAACTACAATGGGGATGATGACAGGGTATGAAAATTAAAAATATAATTAGTCCGTAACTTAGGTAATAAAAAAATATTAGACACGTATTTTTTTATTTTGTTGTATAATAAAACAATACTTAGATAAAACGAATCAAAGTTTAGGAGTGGGGGCTAAAACGTCATTTCTTAGTATAAAATGTACTGAGAACTGACGTCACGCGACATTTCAAATCAATATATCTTCGAAACTATTCGTTTCCGTAAGAAAATAAAAAATACGTGTCTAATGTTTTTAAATAATCTACCAGACGGACATTAAAATAAAAATTAGTCGTCTACCCCATTATGAAATGGCAGTAAGTTTCAAGTTTTAGAGTTTCTTTACACAGAACATAAAATTAAAGTTAGTATTTAGTTTATTGCGCATAATTTCGTATCCTCAATCTCATTTACACTTCAATGCCATTATCTTAATATTACTACTCTCGTCTACAGCTACTGGGCTATGTAAAGTAATACGAGTCCTAGTAATATTATGGTTATGACCAAGTTATTATTTTATTTATATTTTATATAAACATAAAAGTTTGACTGCATCGTTTAATTTTACACCCGGGTCGTGCAAGTCGATATTTAGATTTTGTTTTCGAAATTCTCTTGTATCTGGAATTGTTGATTTTTTGTAATTAGACTTAGAGTATATTTGGATAAACCATATGTAATATTCATGTCTGCAACATTTTTCGTACAATATTATGTTTCTTAAGTAATTTTTAACATTTTAATGAGAGAGAGTGTGTAGAAGAAGATGTGCAACACTCAAAAGAAGATGTACAATCACAATAACAAAACCTAAAAGACCTTTCTTCTAAAAATTGTAGGTGCACTGTCTTTTCTAGTACACAAATTGAATTGCGAATTTGTTAAAAATCTTACTGAGTAATTAGAGATCTATAAGACTTCGTCAATTCGCAGAGTATGTTCTTTCATTTCTTAATTCCTAGTTAGATCCTACTCCTCCTAATTTACTTCATTAGTCATACGTTTAACTCTACAAACAAACTTGCAAAAGACTGATGTTTCAGAAGATATATATATATGTCGGAGATACGCTACCGGTGGGTCGCGACATTGTCGAATCACACTAAATTATTGATATTAGTAAGAACGCAGGAAGTTTAGCGGGGAGTAACCCTTCTAGCTGCCGCCACCACCGCGATCCTTTCCAAAAGTGTTTCCCGCGCTCAGTGACGTCTGTCAACGTCATTTGCTGTCAAATGTCAAAGTCTGATTAAACTTCCGGATCGATATTTCCATCGGTGTTGCCATTACTCCGCGCTAACCATCCTCAAGTAATTACTTGACGTTCTCAAACAATAGTTGCCACATCTAAATTAATTGATATGCGTTGACGCTTCGACACGGCCGTCCTGATGATCACACGTCCTCGTGTGGAGTACCTGGAGAGGAATAACATTCTCGAATACTCATAACAGTCGTTCGGCCATTCCTGGCCCAAGTAGAGGGAAAAAGGTACTTTGATAAAAATCATTAACGGAAATAGCAGATTCTTTCTCTCAAGACTAACATGTTGAACAAACTCATATTCCTTCAAGTAATAGGACACTCCTTTAAATATTGCAGTGCTCATACTCTGACCTCCATCCGGTCATCATCATCACACTTATAACCTCCATCCGGTCATAAGCATCGAACCAATCGACCTCCATCCGGTCTCCAACACGTAACCTCTATCCGGTTACTAACACAACAGGTAACCTCTATCCGGCCACCTTCACATGTAACCTCCATCCGGTTACAAAACACTACAGGTAACCTCTATCCGGCCACCTCCACATGTAACCTCCATCCGGTTAC